AAACAATTCCCCGGTTTTGGGGTTTTTTGGGGGGAGCAAATCCTCACTCTTTCAGTCTGACGATGCAACTTTTTCACTAACGACGCAAACAGTTCTCGTTTTGTGTTTGCGGAGCTAATCCTCACTCTTTCAGTCTGACGTATCAACTCTTTCAGTAACGACGCAAACAGTGCTCGTTTTGTGTTTGCGGGAGCTAATCCTCACTCTTTCAGTCTGATGAATAAACTTTTTCAGTATCGACGCAAACAGTTCTCGTTTTGTGTTTGCGCGATATAATCCTCACTCTTTCAGTCTGTAGATGCAACTTTTTCAGTAACGACGCAAACAGTGCTCGTTTTTGTGTTTGCGGGAGCAAATCCTCACTCTTTCAGTCTGACGTATCAACTCTTTCAGTAACGACGCAAACAGTGCTCGTTTTGTGTTTGCGGGAGCTAATCCTCACTCTTTCAGTCTGATGAATAAACTTTTTCAGTATCGACGCAAACAGTTCTCGTTTTGTGTTTGCGGAGCTAATCCTATCTCTTTCAGTCTGACGATGCAACTTTTTCACTATCGAGCAAACAGTGCTCGTTTTGTGTTTGCGGGAGCAAATCCTCCCTCTTTCAGTCTGACGATGCAACTTTTTCAGTAACGACGCAAACAGTGCTCGTTTTGTGTTTGCGCGAAATAATCCTCACTCTTTCAGTCTGTAGATGCAACTTTTTCAGTAACGACGCAAACAGTGCTCGTTTTGTGTTTGCGGGAGCAAATCCTCACTCTTTCAGTCTGACGTATCAACTCTTTCAGTAACGACGCAAACAGTGCTCGTTTTGTGTTTGCGGGAACAAATCCTCACTCTTTCAGTCTGACGAATCAACTTTTTCAGTAACGACACAAACAGTGCTCGTTTTGTGTTTGCGGGAGCAAATCCTCACTCTTTCAGTCTGTAGATGCACCTTTTCACTAACGACACAAACAGTGCTCGTTTTTGTTTTTCGGGAGCAAATCCCCACTCTTTCAGTCTGACAATCCAACTTTTTCAGTAACGACGCAAACAGTGCTCGTTTTTTGTTGGGGGGAAAATCCTCACTTTTCAGTCTGAATAAAAAAAAAACTAAAACCGCAAACAGTTCTGTTTTGTGTTTGGGGGGCAAAACCTCACTCTTTCAGTCTGCGAATGCAACTTTTTCCACTAAACGACGCAAACAGTGCTCCCTTTTGTTTTGCGGGAGCAAATCCTCACTCTTTCAGTCTGACGATGCAACTTTTTCAGTCTAACGACGCAAAAAATTTTTTGGGGTGGAGCAAATCCTCACTCTTTCAGTCTGAATGCAACTTTTCTAAGCGAAACAGTGCTCGTTTTTGTGTTGGGGGAAGAAATCCTCACTCTTTCAGTCTGTATATGAACTTTTTCAGTAACGACGCAAAAGTGCTCTTTTTTTTTTTGCGGGGCAAAACCTCACTCTTTCAGTTTTCAAAACCAAATTTTTCAGTAACGAGCAAAAAATGTTTTTTGTGTTTGCGGGAGCAAATCCTCACCTTTTTTCTGTCGATCAAATTTTTCACTAACGACGCAAACAGTGCTCGTTTTTGTGTTTGCGGAGCAAATCCTAACCCTTTCAGTTTACGAAAACCAAACCTTTTTCAGTAAACGAGGCAAACAGTGCTCGTTTTGTGTTTGCGGGGGAGCAAATCCTCACTCTTTCAGTCTGACATCAATTTTTCACTAACGACGCAAACAGTGCTTCTTTTTGTTTGTGGGAGCAAATCCTCACTTTTCAGTTACGAACAACTTTTCAGTAACGACGCAAACAGTGCTCGTTTTGTGTTTTTGCGGGGCAAATCCTCACTCTTTTCATTTGACGAACCAACTTTTTCAGTAACGACGCAAACAGTGCTCTTTTTTGTTTGCGGGAGCAAATCCTCACTTTTTCAGTCTGACGATCCAACTTTTTCACTAACGACGCAAACAGTGCTCGTTTTGCTTTGCGGGAGCAAATCCTCACTCTTTCAGTCTGACGAATAACTTTTTCACTAACCGACGCAAACAGTGCTCGTTTTTTGTTTGCGGGAGCAAATCCTCACTCTTTTCNCTTTTTTTCATGCAAAAAGCCCCAAAATAGTACACAGCTGAAAGATTGTGCTTTCATTCAAGTGAGACCAGAAAAGGGTTCCTTTCATTCCGGGGCTCACATTCATTACAGCAAAAATTGCCAAGAGGTGGGATTCCCCGAACCCATGCGTGCAGAGCACAATGGATTAGCAGTCCATCACCTCGTCCATGCTGATGCATGCTATGGGGAAAAAGTGACGATAAAAAAAAAAACGATAATTCAATTCATGTAACGGAGACTAATTTCTATCTGACATAAGGAGTGTGTCAGGTCTTTGTTTGCGTCCAAAAACGGGGAATTAGCTCAAATGGTAGAGCGCTTGCTTAGCATGCAAGAGGCAGCGGGATTGACGCCCGCATTCTCCATTTAAACCGCATTGATGACATTACTTTTTAAAGGGGATTAACTATGTCATTTCTAATATCCAAAAACAAAAAAATAATAAACACAATAAACTTCTGCTATTTGTCAGAATTTCCTCACAATTTCCTATCTTTTTATAGTTTTTGGAGGGGGGTGGGGAATTCTGACATTTTTGTACAATTTATAGTGGAAGGAACGGCGAGGCGATTTATCTTTCACACTGACACAAGCCATATTGCCGTTGTGATAGAAAATCTTCTAAATTAGCAATTTTCATGCAACAAGCCAAAATAGTACACAGCTGAAAGATTGTGCTTTCATTCAAGTGAGACCAGAAAGAGAGGTTTCCTTTCATTCCGGGGCTCACATTCATTACAGCAAAAATTGGACCACGAGGATGGGATTCGAACCCATGCGTGCAGAGCACAATGGATTAGCAGTCCATCACCTCGTCCATGCTGATGCATGCTATGGGTAAATGAGTGACGATCAAAAATGAAATGATAATTCAATTCATGTAACGAAGACTAATTTCTATCTGACATAAGGAGTGTGTCAGGTGTTTGTTTGCATACAAAAACGGGGACTTAGCTCAAATGGTAGAGCGCTTGCTTAGCATGCGAGAGGCAGCGGGATGGACGCCCGCATTCTCCATTTAAACCGCATTGATGACATTACTTTTTATGGGGATTTAGAACTATGTCTATTCTAATATCCAAAAACTAAAAAATAATAAACACATAAACTTCTCCTATTTGTCAGATTCCTCACAATTTCCATCATTTTTTATAGTTTTTTGGGGGGGTGGGGGAATTGCTGACATTTTTGTACAATTTATAGTGGAAGGAACGGCGAGGCGATTTATCTTTCACACTGACACAAGCCATATTGCCTGTTGTGATAGAAAAAACTTCTAAATTAGTAAATTTTCATGCAACAAGCCAAATAGTATACAGCTGAAAAGTTGTGCTTTCATTCAAGTGAGACCAGAAAGAGAGGTTTCCTTTCATTCCGGGGCTCACATTCATTACAGCAAAAATTGGACCACGAGGATGGAATTCCAACCCATGCGTGCAGAGCACAATGGATTAGCAGTCCATCACCTCGTCCATGCTGATGCATGCTATGGGTAAATGAGTGACGATCAAAAATGAAACGATAATTCAATTCATGTAACGGAGACTAATTTCTATCTGACATAAGGAGTGTGTCAGGTCTTTGTTTGCGTCCAAAAACGGGGAATTAGCTCAAATGGTAGAGCGCTTGCTTAGCATGCAAGAGGCAGCGGGATTGACGCCCGCATTCTCCATTTAAACCGCATTGATGACATTACTTTTTATGGGGATATAGAACTATGTCTATTCTAATATCCAAAAACTAAAAAATAATAAACACATAAACTTCTGCTATTTGTCAGATTCCTCACAATTTCCATCATTTTTTATAGTTTTTTGCGGGGGTGGGGGAATTGCTGACATTTTTGTACAATTTATAGTGGAAGGAACGGCGAGGCGATTTATCTTTCACACTGACACAAGCCATATTGCCTGTTGTGATAGAAAAACTTCTAAATTAGTAATTTTCATGCAACAGGCCAAAATAGTATACAGCTGAAAGATTGTGCTTTCATTCAAGTGAGACCAGAAAGAGAGGTTTCCTTTCATTCCGGGGCTCACATTCATTACAGCAAAAATTGGACCACGAGGATGGGATTCGAACCCATGCGTACAGAGCACAATGGATTAGCAGTCCATCACCTCGTCCATGCTGATGCATGCTATGGGTAAATGAGTGACGATCAAAAATGAAACGATAATTCAATTCATGTAACGAAGACTAATTTCTATCTGACATAAGGAGTGTGTCAGGTCTTTGTTTCGCTACGAAAACGGGGAATTAGCTCAAATGGTAGAGCGCTTGCTTAGCATGCGAGAGGCAGCGGGATCGACGCCCGCATTCTCCATTTAAACCGCATTGATGACATTACTTTTTATGGGGATTTAGCACTATGTCCATTCTAATATCCAAAAACGAAAAAATAATAAACACATAAACTTCTGCTATTTGTCTGATTCCTCACAATTTCCATCATTTTTTATAGTTTTTTGAGGGGGTGGGGGAATTGCTGACATTTTTGTACAATTTATAGTGGAAGGAACGGCGAGGCGATTTATCTTTCACACTGACACAAGCCATATTGCCTGTTGTGATAGAAAAACTTCTAAATTAGCAATTTTCATGCAACAAGCCAAAATAGTATACAGCTGAAAGATTGTGCTTTCATTCAAGTGAGACCAGAAAGAGAGGTTTCCTTTCATTCCGGGGCTCACATTCATTACAGCAAAAATTGGACCACGAGGATGGAATTCCAACCCATGCGTGCAGAGCACAATGGATTAGCAGTCCATCACCTCGTCCATGCTGATGCATGCTATGGGTAAATGAGTGACGATCAAAAATGAAACGATAATTCAATTCATGTAACGGAGACTAATTTCTATCTGACATAAGGAGTGTGTCAGGTCTTTGTTTGCCTATGGAAACGGGGAGTGAGCTCAAATGGGAGAGTGCTTGCTTAGCATGCAAGAGATATTGGGATCAATGCCTGCATTCTCCACTGAAAAGCCTCTTTAAACTGATTGAGATTACTTTTTTGGGGGTTTAGAACTATGTCTATTCTAATATCCTAAAACTAAAAAGATAATCAACACATAAACATGTGCTATTTGTCAGATTCCTCACAATATCCATCATTTTTCATTGTTTTTTCGGGGGTTTGGGGAATTGCTGACATACAATTCATAGTAAAAGCAACGACCAGGCGTTTTATCGTTAACAAAGCAGTCCATCACTTTGCCCATGTTTTTTGGGGGGTGGAGGAATTGCTGACATTGTTGTACAATTTATAGTGGAAGGAACGGCGAGGCGATTTATCTTTCACACTGACACAAGCCATATTGCCTGTTGTGATAGAAAAACTTCTAAATTAGCAATTTTCATGCAACAAGCCAAAATAGTACACAGCTGAAAGATTGTGCATTCATTCAAGTGAGACCAGAAAGACAGGTTTCATTTTATTCCGGGGCTCACATTCATTACAGCAAAAATCGGACCATGAGGATGGTATTCGAACCCATGCTTGCATACCACATTGGATTAGCAGTCAATCACCTCGTCCATGTTTATATGGGGGGTGGAGGAATTGCTGACGTTGCAGAATTCATAGTGGAAGGAACGGCGAGGCGATTTATCTTTCACACTGACACAAGCCATATTGCCTGTTGTGATAGAAAAACTTCTAAATTTGCAATTTTCATGCAACAAGCCAAAATAGTACACAGCTGTAAGATTGTGCTTTCATTCAAATGAGACCAGAAAGAGAGGTTTCCTTTCATTCTGGGGCTCACATTCTTTACAGCAAAAATTGGACCACGCGGATGGGATTCGAAACCATCCGTGCAGAGCACAATGGATTAGCAGTCCATCGCCTTAACCGCTCGGCTAAAAATTGGGCAAAAGGGACTGCTAAAGGGGGGGAAAGAAGGGGGAAGGAAGGGGGAGAGGAGAAATTATAAAAAAAAAATGACTTTTACACCAATTTAGCACATGTGTTTCAACCATATCAGTATCATTGTGGTAATTTCTTCCTACTATTGTTAAAACTATCTGTTCAACATTTTTTACCCTCAAGATGTTGTTCTATCTGGTCAAACCATTGGACTTATCTCTATTTTGTTTTTTTTCTGTCACTATAACTATTTAGGTCCAACATTATTTAGGTTACACAACACACAATCAAATTATTATCAGCGAGATTTATTAAACCTGTTCTTACACAACCACCTACACTGATCTGTCACTATAACTAGACATGTGTAAAGCACTGTCCAAAGGCTGACTAAAACATACAGGCACCAACTATGAAATTATTCCAGATTTCACACATTTTCCAACTGATTCAGCACTAGACTAAGCACATCAAGTGTAAATAAAATTGTTTAAACAAAAGACAGTGTCAATCAAATGCCTCAAAAATTTTTTGCATTAGAACATCAGAGTAACAAACTAACCTTTACACAAAGAAAATCTTTCTTAGCTTTCACTGCTTGCTGAAAGTTTCCTTCCATTGCAAAATAGTCTGTCCAGTCTTTGTTTTTTTCGGCCTGACCACAAACTGAACATTGATAGTGGTAGTCCTGTTTCCATTGCCGCTTTTTTGGGAGGTTCCTCCCTTGCCAGACGTTCCTGGTCTTCTATTTCTGCCCTGTTCTGTCTCCATGTCCTGTGACAATTTATGTTTGCTGAAAGCTGATTTGATGGTGAAGATGCTGCTACATCAGCAGCAGGTGCTGGAGCTGATGCATGAAGTGGTGGTGTACAGCACTGATGCATTGAAGCTAGAGGAATAGCCAGCGGTGGGAACTGTCCTTGTCCAGATGAGGACCAAACTGGGGCTGATGGACAGTAGCAGAAATTTGAAGAAGCAGATTGGGGTTTTGGCATCTGATTCAGCTCATAATAAGGCCAAGCAAGTGATTGTGGCTGCTGACTCTGTGCATACAAGAAGCAGGTAGGAGCTGGGCCTGGTGAATAGTGACCTTGCTGGCATGAGAATGACAAAACAGTCTTAGGATAAGGATGACAATGCTTTGAAGAGCCACCTTTACCACCAATGCGTGGACGTACAACTGCCTCGCCTTCACGGTTTTCAGGTTCCTGAAACTCCATGCATTTATGTCCATGTTCAACAGGAGTAGAGGGGAGCTGTCTTGGATCTGGCAGGGAATTTTCAGCCACAGATATCTTCTGTGGAGGCTGTACTCCTTGCAGGAGAGTGTCTCGGTCTGTTCTTTTTTGTCGCCCATGTAGCCTGAAAAATAGTACAATGAAAATTGTTTACTTTTTAGGACAAGCACATCTCTAAACGGCAATATCTGTTAGCAATAAAAGTCATCTTACCAGGCACATACTGTGGTGTTATTGATGGTGACTAACAACAAGTTGGTCTTAAGTTGTATGGGCTGGCAGTCTTAAAAATTTTTTAACATGGCAGTAGGTTTACAAAATTTTGACTGTGGGGGGGAAAAACTTTCCCTTGGAGTTTTTTGGTCTTTTTCCTTGCTTTTTTGGGTTTTTTTTTTAGTAGCTTGAGGAAAATGCACTCGGGATTCTAGTGGTGTCAGATCTCTGGGCAGCCTGGCCATGGGTCATGAACAGCCTGTGTGGAAAACGGGGTTTTTAAAGTTGCAGAAAATTGCAAGTTCAGTAACAGTAATTTGAATGAAGCGGTAATGAAATGTAATTAAATTACTCTCCTCAGTTCGATCATTTTTTAGTAAACATTTTCCTAATTTCCCCTAGTCTTAAAACTTTAAATAAAAAAGGATTTGAAAAACATGACATGGCTTCTTAGTTAATATGCAAGCAATTTTTTTGAATGTGTCAAAAACATGTCCCCTTTCAGCTGCCTGTTGACCCGGTGCAGAGCCCTGCGTTTCCGGGAAGCTCTCCATGGTCCTGGCAAGGTTCTTTCTTACTTTTTAGGGTGTATTTGGAGGCCGCTTGTCTATGGGGGTAAAGCAGAATACAGTTGCATGATTTCTGCCACCTCTGTGGTTTGACAGCGCAGTTATCGTACGATTGAGGCTTAAAAAAGATACTCCGCCAAGTTGTCCAATAGCCTCCCATCCAGGAAAACCTCTGGAATCACACCGGGGTAGTATCCTTTAAAAGAATAAAAACAATTGATATACAGACATACATACACACTAAATCATATAAAAAAAAGCATTTATTTACGTTACTAAAAACTTTTTGGGGGGGGGGGGACTGCTGGGGGGTTCATCTTCTGTAAGTTCCCCCGGGTCTCAGACTGGATAACCCACATTTGTAAAAGGGAAAAACCCCACATACCAAGGGAAAAAATAAAGAATTAACTTGCTTAGTGTTAATAAACCCAAAATTAAAGCATTACATCAGGTGCTAAAATCTGTTTCTGATTTATTCATGCTGTTTATAAATGAAAGTATGCAGGTGTATATATAAGAAATGTAAGCAAGCCAACCAACACTACCCACCAAAAAAAAGGGCAGAATGCTGTACCTTGGATAGCCAAAACAGAGGCTAAGATGGAAATTGTTTCATAACAAGACAAACTACATCCCCACATTTTCCATAAAACATAAGTCAGCTACGAAGTGGTGAACCCCCAAAAACCCACAGGGGTCACATTACCGGGGGTTTAAGCACTGCTTGGTCCACTAAAGGGAGTTGTCATCAGAAAAAGCGCACCTCTGACTGGCCCAAACAGTATGAGTGTAAGCAGAGCTTGCATCAAAACTGGTTTCCTGAGAATTCGGGAGAGACAAGAGAGGTTTTATTTTACATGCTTGGATAGAAAAGAAGCTTTTCCCCCATATTCATGATCTCCATTTATGTTTTAGTCCCTGATGCCAAGGCCTTTCTAACATAAAAGTTTCAGATCATTAAAATGTTCATCAATGGCCATATTCAGGGGCCTGATGAATTTTACCCCAATTATCATAATCTGGTTAATTAGAAAAATACATTGGAAGGGGAAGCGTTCACTAAAAGCATTCAAAAATGAGTTTGTTTGGTTCTTTTTATATGAAAATCCCAAATTAGCCCACAATACATACAAATGAACCTTTGTCTTTAAAAATAAAACAAATTATTATAATGAAAATGCCATTACCTGAGATGAAGTGGAAGATGACCCTTCCTGGAGAAAATGAGTATTAGGGGATGACATCTCCGACTGGTCATCATACTGTGGCACCTTCGGAGGGCCATCGATGAGGATGTCAGTGACCTCACTGATGGTGACATCAGGACTTTCCTCCTCCAGAACGTCAGCTTGTATCTCTGGCAAAACAACTCCCAGTTTGATGTCCTGCTTGGGACCTAATAGGTCTCTTCTGTCTGACTGAGCTAAAAGATACTCCACAGCAATACGCTCCCCTAGAAAGATCTAAAAACGAAAATTTACAATTGTTTTTTTAAATTTACTGTACACAAAAGAGTATTTTTGTATAATTTCATTGGTAAAAGTTCAGTACCAGTGGGACTGCCTGGAGGAACGAACTCTGGCAAGACTGACCTAGCACTCTGTTGCTAAGGGTGTTGATGTTGGACATCAGACGAACATCATGGAGTTTAGTGTGTGATCTACAAGTCATATGTAAAGCATCTTGAGCTCTTTTCATGTTCCATCTGGATCCACCCTCAAGTATATACATTTGAGTGTGCACAGCATTGCTTCTCCATCCTTAAAAAACAATGTTTAAAGGCATTAGAAAGATTGGCTGCATTTATGAAATGATAAAACTAACTCTTCTTTGTCTGCATTTTCTTTTCAGAAATTATAGATAATAATTTCTGAATAGTAAATACAGACAAAAAACAGTTTTCATAAATTATTATCCCATTAACATTTTTAAATGTACAATAATAACTCTGGGAGGTGTGACCCCAATGAATGACTTAAAAAATACCAAGTTACTATGTACCTGGTATAAAAGGTACACTGATGTCGATGAAAGCTTTCAACTGAAGACGACCCTCTGCCACATCTGAAGGTTTGCACTTCTTTTTCCC